AGTTGTAATTATTATTATTACTTTTTTTTTTTGAATAAAAACTTTATTATTATTATCAACATCATTTGAGGTTCGAACGTGGCATTTTGAAAGATGCGAAACCGTGCAAAATAAAAAAACATTCGTTGCTGTTATTTTTTTTTTTTTTTAATTTTTAAAATTTTAACCATAATGATAGTGGTTTGCTGCAACCACTGTGAACGTGCCACCCATTTAATGTAAATCCGTACGTAACCGCCACCGCCGCCACTACCACCACCACCACCACCACCTACCGTTTTTGGATATGTTAAGGCATAATATCCGGTTCGAAAACATTCTTCGAATTAAAATAATTTCACCCCACCATCGATCTATCGAACATAATGAAATTTTTTTTTTTTTTCGACAGACGCGTTTCGTTATTCTGAAGGTTTTTAACTGTAGTGACGTAATTGGTGGATTTCTTAGAGAGTAGTAGTTAAAATTACTAATTTGCTACTAGTCGTTGAGTTTTTTTTTTTTTAATTATTTATTTAACCGTTGCTAAGTGTGGAATATTGTACGGTGATAATGAAATGTAGATTTAGCGTGTAATAATAGTAATAATAATAATAATAATCTTTCAATAATATTAGTTCGATTCTAACATTCGTACATTACAAACGTATAAAAAATTTAATTTTTATAATTCCAAGTGTTGTTTTTATACCGGTTTATTATTATTATTGTTTCCGTTTGAATGATGAGACCTTTCGAACATTGTTTGGATTGTTCGGTGATTTTCTTTTTTATTATTATTATTATTTAAAAAAAAAAAAAAAATTGTTTGTTGGTGTATGTTTGTGTCAACGTTTAAAAAAAGGAAAATAAATGTGACGTCATTGATCGATACGTTATCAATAATAAATTTATTATTAAAATATAATTGGATCTATGAGATTTGAGATCTTTAGAGAGAGAGAGAGAGAGAGAGAGAGTGTGTAAATGAAATTTAAAATGGGCCAAAGCGTGTTCAATGTGTGCTTAATTTAATTTCAAACGTTTGTTGAGTTTCACGTTTGATTTCCTTTCAATCCAAATATTTGGCATGTGAAATTTTGTCCGAAATTTTCATTAATCATTCTCATGTACCTGCAATCAAAAAAATTTTTTTTATTATTGATCAATGAGTCTTTTGTTGGTGCAGGTCTCGCGTAATACCTGCTCCCCCCGCACTCGGTTCGATACTTTTCTACATGAAACCCATTACAAAATTTCAATTTTTCTCCTCCTCCTCTTCCTTCTCCTTCTTCTTTCGTGTAACGTCATTGAAGTGTCGTCTCGCGTACTGAATTAAAATTTATTTCCTCCAACATGTATTTAGATAGCCATTTCCGCCGTTTTCTGCTTCTCGTTTTTAATTTCTTTCATTCTCGTTCTTTTTATTATTATTTTTTTCATTCGTACACATGCACACTTGTGTGCGAGTTTTTTTCCCCTCCCTCTCTCTCTCTCTCTTTATTAAAAACATTTTTTATTATTTGAAAAAATAATTAAGATGGTGGTTTATATTCTATGACGAGAGTGGGTGACTTCTTGAAATGGTTTTAAAACGGGTCCCCATTGAATTTGCTACAACCACGCAGAGAATATCAATTAAATTCAATTATAATTTATTTTTACGTTTGTTCTTAATGTTGCACTTTAAATGAAATTATTATTATTATTACGAAAAAATAAATGAATGGTATAATTATCAATAGAATTTATAATAGTACGTTAAAAGAATTGTTTTTGAGAGGGAGGTCAAAAAAAAAAAGAACAGGTACCTGTGCAAAATTTTATTTTCCAATCCCATTCGTGTGCGAAATAATATTCAAACCTGTGTGACTTTAATCGGTTGTTTTAAAAGTCGTGTTCGCTCGTTTGTTGTGTTGTTGTTTTGTATACGAAGCAGTTTCTCTCTCTCTCTCGAGCGTACATTTTTTTTTACGTTTTTACGATTTTTCCGAACGGGTATCGAACACTTCGATTATCAAGGTTAATAACTTGGAAACCGCGTGATGGGTCTTATACCAATTAGAATGAATGATGGCGTGAGAATAATTCCCTGGAAAATCACACAATTATGATTTTCTTTTAAATTGCGCGAAAAAAAGTAAAAAAGATGCAGCGACGGATTAAGGTTATTGTTTCACTCACTCACTCACTCATTTCAAAATAATTAAAAATGTGTTTTTTTTTGTTTTTTAATTGCACGCAAACACGCAGGCAAGCAGACGCCATTATTTTATTATTTAAAAGTCCTGTTATGTTGTCTTGCGGCTTAAGATAAAATAAAATAGCTTCCAGTTTAAATAGATAACAACCCATAAAAAAAAAAAAATAATAATAATAATAATAATTTTATTTTAAATTTGGAAAGAAACTTTGAAATCAATAAAAACGAATTCTTTTTTTTTTTTTTTTTACCTTTTGAAATCGATGACGTAACGAAATAAAAAATAATTTTGTTTGTTGTTTGTTGTTGTTGTTGTTGTTTTGCGGGGAAAAAAAAAAGGCGGGGGGAGGAAATTATAGAAAATTGTGTTAATTTTTTTTTTTTTAAAAAAAACCATTAATTTTTTTTTTGCAAAAAGAAATTTTTTACGATTGAACATGTTTATGTTTATGTTTAATTTTAAAATCTTGACTTTTTATCGAGAGAGAGAGAGAGAGAAAGAAAGAGGGGGAGAGAGGAGAGAGAGAGAAAACAATAAAACATTTCGAAAAATGAAAAAAAAAACATTATTTCCTGTTAGATAAAGTTAAATCCGAGTTCAAAAAAGTTCACGATTGTAATATTTTGTTGTATTATTTGCCATTTTCGACGGGGAAGACCTTTTTTTTTTTTTTCCTCCGGGATGAAATCTCGTAAGAGGGAAGAAAAATAATAATGATAATGATGATTTTTTGTATAACAAAATTTTTTTAAATAAATCGCACCGAGAGTGTTATTGAATCGATTGTTTGTCGTTGTATTAATTTTTTGTTTGTTTTTTTGTTTTAGATGACTCGTAAAAAGTCTGGATTCGATTTCGATAAGAAAGAACCGCAAAAAAACAAATCGCAAAATGGGACAAACGTTGTTAAAAATTCAACAAACACAAATTCTAAAATTCGTCCGATGAAAATCACGGCCGTCGGTGATGGAATGGTCGGTAAAACATGCATGTTGATCTCGTACACGACAAAAACATTTCCCACGGAATACGTGCCAACAGTGTAAGTAAATAAAACAAAACTATTTCTTTAAAATTATATCATCTCTATTATTATTATTATTATTATTATTATTATTATTATTATTATTAGAGAAAACGTGAAAATTCCATTTTTTTTTGTAGCATATATATGTAATGTACAGAGAGAGAGAGAGAGAGAGAGAGAGAAATGTTTGATTTTATAGAAAATGTCATGAATCAAAAAAATTTTAAATGATTTTTTTACGGATGATTTAATTCTATCTCTCTCTCTCTCTCTCTCTCTTTCTCTTTTTCTCTTTCTCTCTCTCGTGTATCACGATCGATTGATTTTTTTTTTTTTTTTTAAATTTTCAAGGTTTTAGGTTTTCGATTGTTTTTTTTTTTTTTTTGGTAAATGCCAGGCGTGGGCGGCGAGCATTGTTATTTTTTTTTCGGAGCATTGCTCAACGTAGAAACTTTTGATTTAATTATTAATAAAATAATAATAATTTTTATTTATTTTTGTTTGTTTTCGAACAAACGTCGTCGTTACTCGCCAAAGTGTAAATACTTACTATTGGAGAAAAGTATGGGAGTGCAATGCACGGAAAAAGGTAGTTTTAGTACAAACGACGACGCCAAAAACGATTATTTTTAATATTTATTTCTCACTTTTTTTTTTTTTTTTACGACGTCGACGATAGACAAACAAGGCAATTATACGAAAAAAAAATTATTTGTTTGTTTGTTTGTTTGTTTGTTATTCTCTCTCTCTCTCTCTCTCTCTCTCTCTCTCTCTCTCTCTCTCTCTCTCTCTCTCTCTCTCTCTCTCTCTCTCTCTCTCTCTCACTCTCTCACTGTCCCCGTAAAGCGGAAAATTTGAAGCAAAAAATAATAATAATAATTTTTTTTAATTACGTTTGTAAATAATTGTTTGTATTGTTTTTTTTTATTTTATTTTGTTTGCTTGTTTTTTTTTTTTTTTTATTTCTCGAACCGTTTGTTGTCAGGTTAATAATAATAATAATAATAATAATAATTTTCCTATCGTGATAACAAGCCAATTAATCGAGAGAGAGAGAGAGATTTTCTCGTTTTACCTTTTTCATCCTCGACGATAACTTTTTTTTTTTTTTTTTTTTTTTATTATTAAATACACATGTATGTAATATTATTATTATTATTATTATCATTATTATCATTATCATTAATATGATGATTGTTTCACGGTTTTTTATAGATTTGATAACTACGCTGATAACATCACCGTAGACGATCAAACTTTTAACATGATTATATGGGATACCGCAGGCCAAGAAGATTACGAAAGACTGAGACCTTTATCGTATCCAAACGTAAGTTGTGCTAATTTCGTTATTAATTATTATTATCATCATCATCATCATCATTATTATTATTATTATTATTTCGATTTGGCCTCTCAGAGGTCGGAACCCGTTAAATTAAACGAATCTAATAATTAAATCCGATTAACCTCCATCGTGTGAGGAGGAGGATGGATGGATGAACGAGACAGGGAAAAAAAGTAATAATAATAATAATAATAATAAACGACCAATCGAATTTTTTTTTTTTTTCACGAAAGAAATTCATTTAAAACCTTGCAATATTTGTTTTATTATTATTATCATCATCATCATCATCGCGTCGTTTAATCGAAGGTAACAAACAGCAAATGAATCAATTAGCGTGAAAATTTCGTATACGAAAATTAACTGTGACGTAGTAATTATTAAATTTCAAATTTCCCGCCATTTTGTATTTATTTATTTATTTTTTTTGGGGGGGGGGATTTTGCGATAAAAATTAATTTAATTTATTTAAATTTGTTTGTTTGTTTGTTTGTACGTACGTACGCGAAACAAACGCGATTGTTGTTTTTTTTTTGTCGGTTTTTCAAAACAACCAGTTTTTTTTATTAATTAAATGTGAAAATACTTATTATTATTATTATTATTATTATTAATGTAATTTTTTTTTTGTTTGTTTTTTCCAGACCGATTGTTTTCTACTTTGTTTTTCGGTTGTTAGTAGATCCTCGTATCAGAACATTTATAGCAAATGGACTCCAGAAATCAGGCATTTGTGCCCTCACGTTCCCATCGTTTTAGTCGGTAAGAAATCTAACGATAATTTTTTTTTAATAATAATAATAATAATTATTTATTTCATTTATTATTCAATTCGACGACGAACGGAAGGGGGAGTGGAGTGGAAAGGGGAGGGGGTAAGGAGGGGAGCGAACGTTATAAAAAAGGAAAAAAAATAAAAAAAACGTCGCTTGCCAGAAAATTATTATTATTATTATTATTTTATTTAATTACGTTCCATATTTATATATATGTGCGTGTGTGTTTATTTATGTATCTGCCAATATAGCCAACGATTATCATCATCATCATCATTATTATTATTTTTACTTTAAATATGAAAAAAAAAAAAAAAAAAAAAAAAAAAATTGAAATTTTCATTAAATAATCAAACTTTTTAAATTTTTTTTTTTTTTGTGTTGGCAAACGGGCACGTTTCGTTTCGTACTAATAATAATAATAATAATATTTATTATCATTATTATTATTATTATTATTATCATTACTACTACTACTACCCACTCACGTAATGTGCCCGATTTGAAAAAGGCAAATTTGAATTTCAATCATTATAATGACGTATTTGATGTTTTTTTCTTTTTTTTGTTTTTGCGCTCTTGTTTGTCGTCGTCGTCGTCTGCTCCTCTTCATCTTGGATTTCATCAGGAACGAAAACGGATATAAGAAATGAAAAAGACTCAGAGCACATATCTCATTCGGAGGGTAAAAAAATGAAAAATAAAATCAAAGCGTTTGCTTACATGGAATGTTCGGCTAAACTCATGGAAGGTTTGGATGATATTTTTCTGACGGCCATTCGTGCGGTTATTAAAAAACCGCAAACAAAATCGCAAAGAAACTGCGTCATACTATAATAATAATAATAATAAAACAAAAAGTAAGATTTGAAATGTAATAATAATAATAAAAATTTATTTATTTATTTAATTAAAATATTATCATTATCGTTATTATTTCGTCACTTTCAACCGTACAAAAATCAAAATCGTAACACCAACTTTTACGAATCGTTTGTTTGTTTGTTATATTCACTTAATTTTTCACTCACTCTTTGTCAAAATATCATCATCATCATTATTATTATTATTATTTGTAGTTTGAATTTGTATTGTGTTCTACGTTGCCGGGTCCCATGACTCCGATTGCTTTTTGTTGTACTATTTTACCATAACCTCCTCTTCCACCATCGTAATCCGTCCTGTATTCATCTCTCACCTAAGACAATAATAATAATAATAATTAAAAAAAAGAGCAACGAACTCTTTTAAAATCACCCATAAAAAAAAATCATCTAATCGAGTCAAAACAAAAACAAATTTCCAAGTATTATTATCATCATTATTATTATTATTATTTAATCAACGAGAATAGGAAAAAAAAAAAGATTTTTTTTTGTTTTAATGTCACGAACCGAATTTTAATTTATGGTCATTAAATTATTATCATTATTATTATTATTATTACTAAAATTTTTTTTTTTTTAAATATGTTAATTTTAATTTGAAATTTTGTTTACAGAAGGAAAAATCAACGAGTGGAAAATTTTTTTAACCAAATGGAACAGGAAATTCTTCACACAATTTTATTATTATGTACATAAGAATTATTATACATATATACATAAATACATAAATAAATGATTGAAATGATGTATGCTCGATTAAAGAAAGGAAAAAAGAAAAAAATGAATGAAACTACTAATCGTCAATAATTGTAAATAAGACTTATAAATTGTTAATAATATAATAATAATAATCGATTGTATTTATTTTATACATGCAAAGAGTGGTGAGATTGCATGTTGTGTAAACTTTCAAATAAAATTTTTATTTTATAACATAATTTAATTATTGATTTTATTTTCCTGTACCTGATTCACGTTTTGAAATCGATAAAATGATTTTGATAAATACCTGTCCGCCTGTTTTTCCTCTTCCATATTGTCTACCTTCGACAAATCCTGCATCCCAGTCTGTTCTTATTATTCTATCGTCCAATCTTGTTCCATTAATATATCTCATACAGCATTCTGCATCTGATCTTAGATAATATCTTATTAAATTATTATTAAGAAATAATATTATTATTGTTTATTAAATTTATTGGAAAATTTTTAATCGTTTGTTGAGGTTAAGTGAGAAACAACTCTAACTAAAATTTTAATCGAAACATCTCGAATTATAAATTATAATGTGAGGTGATATGAGGTACAAGTTACATTCACATCTTTTTAACCTTAATTGTTGTTATAATTAAATAAATTTCACATTTACTTGACATAATTGTAAAAGGATACTCAACAAAACAAAATCCACAAGGTGTTTTTCGAAATTTATCTAATCCCATTATAATCCTTTTAATATCTCCACATTTAGAAAATAATTCATATATTTGTTCTTCAGTCGTATAAAAAGCTAAATTACCTACATATAACGTACTAGAAACTCTTAAAAGTCTTTCTTGCTCTCCTCTGGAACCCTATATGATAAAATGTTAATTTTTAAAAAAAAAATTATTAAATAATGTTATTATCAAAGATATACTTGCGGGAAATGTTTAAGTGATACCTTAAAATGCTGATCCCTGTAAGAACTTAATTCCACCGAGGGAGTTGCGGCAGAAGATTGCATTTTTAAATTTTTTTAAATATTATAATATTCTCACTTTTCACTTAGAGTAAACAAATAATAATCATCGGGGCATAATTTAGCGGTTGGCAAATGAAGAGAAATTTTTTTTTTTAAAGTTGGCAACTTTGTTTATCCTAATGGCTCATCGAATGCGCAAATAATATTAGTGTTCGCCATTTTGTTCGTGTTTTAGTGAGTGTATAGTAATAATTAAGTAATTTTAGTCATAATGAATCAAATTCCCGAATCGGGGACAGTTAAAAAAGAAGTAAATAATCATGTTCAAGCTAAAAATAATATAGAGACGTATGGAAAAGTGGTTTTAACATTAAAAAATTGTATTTTACCGGAAGAGAAACTCTCTCCGACGCCATCGCAAGTTGATGGTTTAGATGTAGAAACAGAGACTGATTTAAGAATTTTAGGATGTGAACTCATGCAAACGGCTGGAATATTATTAAAATTACCACAGGTAAGTTACATTTTGTTTTTTTTAGTTAATGGAGGAATAATTTGGATACGAGAAATATTTATCTCTCAGTTGGGTGTTTAAAACCGCCGGGGGTAGGTAACGGCAACGTAAAGAATGTGTCTTTTTTTTCCAGAAATTTACCGACTTGATTTTTAAAATACCGAGAAGAAATAATTACAGTTGTTAAAAGGAACGATGACAACAAATTGGATTTTATATCGGTCTTGTTTCTATCGTCGATAAGTGTCTATTAATAATTTAGATATGCCTTAATTTACAGGTAGCAATGGCCACTGCCCAAGTTTTATTTCAAAGGTTTTATTATAGCAAGTCGTTTGTTCGACAAAATTTTGAAATCACCGGAATGGGATGTTTATATTTAGCATCGAAAATTGAAGAAGCTCCTAGAAGAATAAGAGATGTCATCAATGTTTACCATCATATCAAACAAGTCAATAATCAAAAGTAAGATCATTTATTTATGTTTTTGTCGTCAAAGATTTAAAGTGAGTCGACCATTTTTAAAAAAAAAATTGTAACATAAACGAATGAAACTTTTAAATTTGTAATTATTTAAAAACATTAAATTATCACAATCAATCATTTAAAGAATTCATTTTACCTTTTTTTAAAAAACAAAAATGTTATATTAGCTAAAAAGCATTTAAAATTTTATTTAAAAGTTTCTTCGGACTCACTTTATCTTTGATGATTATTTAAAAAAACTCTTAATTGAAAAAAAACAAAAAAAAAAAAATTTTTAATTTTGCAGCTTTGGTAATGAAATTGTTCATCAGAAACATAGCAAATTATTATCAAAAATTGGTCAGTGACAAAAAAAAAAAAAAAACGAAAAAAAATTTTAAATCTTAATTTTTTTTTATTTTCCTCTTTAATTTTAATATTATCATACAATTTTTTTATTATTATTATTTATGATAATGAGGCAAAAAAAAAAAACAAACAAATCTTTTATAGTTATATTTATTAATTCTTAATTTTACTGAATTTTTTTTTTTTAAATTTAAAATTTATTTATCATACGATTAGTCTAATCTCGAATAAGATAAATAATTTTAAGTCGATTATTTTTCTCACTTGTAAATTTATATAAAATATTATTTACTGTCTTTATCGATTGTATATATATATATATATATATTTAGAAGTTATAGCTATAAGGAAACTTTAAGATCATCCCTTATCTATTAAAAAATTATTATTATTATTGGTTTCGAATGAAAATTATAATACAATCATGTTTTATTTTAACAATGATTCAAGTTAATTTTTTGCTCTGTCGAAGTTAAATTTTTTATATTAGAAGAAACAATTCCTTATTGTGTTTTAAATGTTTCCACAGATGGTTTTTCAAAATGAACAAAACCATGGGAAGAAAATTGGAACAAAGAATTGAATCTGAAAATAGAAATGAGAGAGAGCGTTAAGCGGGAGAGACAAGTCGTCGCCGATGATGATGATCTGCTCCTCGCAGGCCTTGTCTCATGACGTCATACAGGCCGTCCTTCTAAAAATTGGTTGGTCCTGCTTCCACAAAATCAACCTCAACCTTTCTGCTCTTAACACAAAAAAAAAGAATTAATTTTATTTTAAAAAAAAAAAAAAAAAGAAAAAAAAAACAAAAAAAGAAAAGAAAAAAAAATAAGAAAAATTATTAATTTTCACAATCGACTTGAAAACAAAAAAAAAAAAAAAAAAAAGGCTTTCATTTTTCTGTTGTGTGATTAATTTTGTATCGTAAAGTTAGGGCAACTTGTTATCCTCACAAGTTTTTTACTATTATTATTATTATTATTATTATTATTATTATTATGTTAAATTCGGCTTTTTGTTATTTTTTTTTTTTTTTTTTTTTTTTTTTTTTTTTTTAATAAGTATTAAGGGGAATCCCTAAAAAAAAAAAAAAAATTGTCGGGCAACAAAAAAATGAAGGTTTTTTTTTTTCACGTCGATAATAACCGTAATTTATAATAATAATAAGGATAAGGATAATTTTCTTTATGGTACGGTAAGATGTTTCAGGTATTGAAAAAAAAAAAAAAAAAAAAAAAACAATTTTTTTTTTTTTTTTTGGATTTTTTTTGGTTTTCTTTTTAACTACTAAAAAAACTTGAGGCTTTAAAAAAAAATAAATAAAAAGAGAAAGATATGTATAAAAATATAATGATGAAGAAAGAGGAAAAAAAAAGTCTGTCGGCTTTTAGAAGAGAAAATAATAATAATAATAATAATAATAATAATAATAATAATAATAATACATTTAGGAGAGGATTGTTTTACTTTAGTCTAGGATTCGTTAAACATTTAATTTTAATAAAAAGAAAAAAAAGGAGGAAAAAAGAAAGAGTCAACCGTTTGTTAGCGGATAATGTTCGAACCTATCGTGTTTGTTTATATACCTTCGCGCACACTGTTGGAAAACATTAAACGCGAGCCGTTTAATTTAAAAAAAAAATTTGTTATTTGTTTTTCTCGAATCGAATCGAAAGAAAACGTTTTCATATCGAACAATATTTTTTTTTTTTTTTTTTGGTTATAAAGTGCGTAAATTTTAATGCGTTTAGCCGACAGATAGTTTAAAAAAAGAAAAGTCGATTCTTTAATGTAACAAAAAATGTTTTTTTTTTTATTGTAATTTTTTTTTTTACTAAAACTGATTGATTAATTGATTAATTGATCGATTAATTGATCGATTGATTTACACAGATAGACTAATGATTAATTCAATTTTCCAGACAAATTTCAGGGAATTTATGAATAAATAAAAATTTATAGAAAGGAATCGAAAGGTTATAGAACCTTTTTGGGTTTGCTCTCCTCGATGTTTTATATATAAAAATTAGGAAAAGATTTTGTTTGTGTAGTTTTTGTTTTTTTTTTTTTTTTTTTTGGGGGGGGTGGGGGGAAACCTATCGGAAAAGTGGAAATGCGGAAAATTTTGTGGTACGTTTAAAAATACGAATCGGAAAAAGGTATCGTTTAACTGACGATTTAGAAAAGGTTTTCTATTAGTTTTCTATGAATGATTCGTGCGAATACATTTTTTAATATTTTTTTTTTTAATAATTTGTAGTATTTGTGGTAATTATAGAAATCGTTGGAAAGTTTAAGGGATCACGTGGTAGTTGCACGTTCGATTGGAAACCTTTTCGAAAAAAAAAAAAAAAATGTAGGTATAACCGTTGAATCGAATCAACGATCTGAGTAAGGGGAAAAGTTTTCGATTATTGTATGTATTATTATTATTATTATCACGTTACGTTTGTACACGTGGAAAATTTTAAATACTTTACGCAATTTCTAATTGTGCGTGAGGGATTAAAAAAAAAAAAACATTTTAGAAAATTAAAGAATCGGCTTTTTATATTCGCGTGACGTAATCAAAAAAAAAAAAAAAAAAAACATTTCGCGATATCCGACCGAAAATAACTTAAAACTTTGCTTTACTGTGAAAGAAGTTTTTGTAATTTGTTATTTGTAGTTTGAGAACCGGAAATACGTCATCATCATCATCATCTGAAGAAGAATCGTAAAGGAACGGAAGAAGAAGAGAGAAAAAAAAAAAGGAAAACGTTTTCATCAAAAGGAAATTCAATGGAATATGCATAATAATTGGAAACGTTGGATTACATAACTCCTCGCTCGGCCATCTTGTTTTTTTTTTTTTATTTCTATTTTATTATTAATTATTATTATTATTATTATTATTTTTTTTATCGTACGTGTTGTTTCGATTTGCCTCATTGTCAATTTTAATGATACAAAATTTTATGTTTCAGTTTTTTCCTTTTTTTCCTTTTTAGGAAAATAACTCGGTTGTTTATTCATTTAACATACAAAAAAAAAAAGTAAAATAAAATAAAATAAATTTGCTATGTTTTTGGTAAGAGTGAGTGAGACAGAGAGAGAAAGAGAGAGAGAGAGAGTGAGAGAGTGAGAGAGTTGGAAAAGGAAAAAAAATTTTCCAACTCGGAAATTCGAACAAATAATATAAAATTCATTTTAATATTAAAAAAAAAAATTAAAAATGGGAGAAGATTTTTTTTCACAAAAGTATAATTTAAGGCCGCGGGTTTGTCTGTTTGCGCGTGTGCGCGTGTGCGCGTGTGCGTGTGAGTGTGCTTGTACCAATTTTAAAAGGTTTTGCAGGTATGCAGGTCGAAAATGTTTATCCGTTCGAAATTTTCCGATACGTACGTGATTAAAAAATTTTAAAAGATTTTTTTTTTTGTTTTATTTTCGAACTTTCTCAAATTATTATGAAGGGGGCGGGGCGGGGCGGGGCGGGGAGGTGGAAAGGAGGGAAGGGGAGGTGCTTGTAACTAAAAATAATAATCATTTTGAAAAATTTGTTTTTCAGATTTGCAAAATGAAATGTTTAATAATTGATTATTTAAAAAAAAAATTAGACCGGATCGAAAATTTCGAATCGCGTTATCATTCAAATTCGACCATTTTTTTACACGCGCACACACACACACACATGCTACCTGCTTAACCAATAAATAAATAAATAAGTTCTTGTGACGTCACGAATTTCCATTTAAACCACTCACTCACTCGTTCAAGAATTTATTTAACAATAAGTATAAATAAAATAATAAAAAAAAGTAAAATTTTGTTTTTTTTTTTTCAATATTGTTTTACAGAACTATAACGCCAATGATACTCGATCAAAGTTATATAGGTCTCAAATATCAAGTAATAAAAGCGGAAAGAAGAGTTCTCAAAGAATTAGGATTTTGTGTACATATTAAACATCCTCACAAGGTAATTTTAGTTTTAAAACAAAAGGAAACTGTAAAACAACGAGTGATTATTATTATTATTATGTTTTTTTTTTTTTTTCAGTTAATTGTTCTATACCTTCAGGTTTTAGGACTGGAAACTAAACACACGTTAATGCAAATGGCGTGGTGAGTTGAATTTATTTGCTATTAATATTATTTTACACGATTCGAAATTGTAGAAATTGATTTTATTATTATTATCGTGTCTGAAGGAATTACATGAACGATTCGCTGCGAACGGATGTTTTCGTGAGGTATCAACCGGAAACGGTGGCTTGCGCTTGCATATATTTAACGGCGAGAAGGTTAAAATTTCCCATGCCGAAAACTCCGCCGTGGTATTCGATATTCAAAGTAGAGGAAAAGGACATACACGACATATGCATTAGAATATTAAGACTTTACGCAAGGCCCAAGGTGAGTTATTTAATGAGAGGGGAAAGGGGTGGGGTAAGAATGAAGGGAAGTAACATTGAGGGTTTTCTTTTTTTTTACACGCACAGCCCAAAGCAGACGCGTTGCAAAAAAAAGTACAAGAATTATGTAAAAAATTTGAAGAGAATAGGCTTAAAAACAAACCTGGATTTAATGCCGTCACATCCGGGACAAACACTCCAACATCTCCTAGCGTAACGGAAAAGAAAACGTCACCAAAGCGGTGAGTGGAATTTTTTTTTTTTTTTTTTTTTTTTTTGTCAACAAACTTTATGTTTGTGTTTATTATTATTATTATTGTTATTTTTAATGCAGGAGTCTTTCCGACCGAAGTAGATCGAGATCGAAATCGCCGAGCGTGGGTCCGAGACATAAAAAATCTAAAAAGCATAAAAAATCAACGTCGAGATCGAGATCTCGAAGTAGGTCGTACGAGAAAAAGTACAAAAAATCACGGAAAAGCGGGAGACGATCCAAGAGTCTGAGTCCTCCGACGACGAAAACTTACAAGTAATGAAAAAAAAAATTTGAGAGAGAGAGAGAGAGAGAGAGGGGAGGGGAGAGGGAGGGATTCGTTTCAAACGTTTATATATATATATATATGTTTATTTGCAGGGAAAAAAAGCACAGGTCGAGATCGAGGAGTTACGAACGGGAATATCCAAAGAAATTACCCAACGATGGTAAATATTATTCGGATAGGTACAAAGAGGAAAAGGGAATCGACAGATATTACAACAAGGATGATAAATTCCGGAGCAAAGACGATGATGGTGGTAAATACGGTAAAGAGAGAAAGGATAAAATGGGAATGGGTAAAGACGAGGACAACAACAAGCACAACAACAAGATAAAAGATGAAAATTATCGGAGCAAAGACGACGGATATAAAAATTCAAATAATTCGATAAAAAGAGACAAAAAAACGAGGTGAACAATCACCAATTCGTTATAGAAAATAATTATTTATTTAAAAAAAAAAAATAAAAATCAATAAATAAAATCAATCAATAATACAAAATCAAAACGAAATCAATAAGGGAAAAAGAAGTTTAAAATATTGTTGTTATCAAAACGATAGAAACGAATTAAAATGATTTTTTTTATTAATTATCATCATTATTATCGTTATTATTATTATTATTATTATTATTACTAAATCAAAATGGTAATAAAATTTATATCCCAATCGTATAATCCTTTTTATTCGGTCCTGTATAGATCAAGTTAAAAAAATTAAATAATAAAGTGTTGGTGAGATTTAAATGTGACGTCATTGTGACGTCATAGGTCATGACGAAATCTATTTAATAGCGATGAAGCAGGATCATTGATGATCTTCCCCCGTCAGAGATCGGAGGGTAAATGATTGATTGATTTTTTGAACGTAAGAGACCGCCACTTATGTCTCTCTGACGTATACTCTCGCGCGCACGTGGGTTTGTTTTGTTTTTATTTTAGCCACGTGCTAATGCGAATTATTACGAAGTAGCAGGAAAAATAATTTAAAAAAAATTTTTTTTTTGTTTTTATCGGGATTAAAGGATGAGGAGAGAGAGAGGGGGGAAATGGAGGAGGTGTCTATTGTAACTTCCTTGTTGAGATAATAGGTTTTTCAACTTATTCGCATTTTATTTTTTCCTATTAAACCCACACGTTTTATTATTATTATTATCGTTTTGTCGTTCTGTCGAGAAATTTGTCGTTAATAAGGTTTTAAAAAAGATAAATTTACCAAAAGTTTAAAAAATGTTGTAAGGGAAATTCAAAAAAAAAAAATTAAGGTCATAGGTCGTTACAAACAAATGTTTTCCTGTTTTTTTTTTTTTTTTTCAATAAACTTATATTTTCCTGCTGCTGCTGCTGTCGCCACCGCCACCGCCGCTGCCGCTGCTGCCGTTTTAAAAATTATTTAAATTGATAAAAAATAAAAATAAAAAGTGATAACATAAAAATTTTAAATAAATAAAATTAGTCGGTTTTGTAATATCGCGGAAGTAGGAGTAAAAAAAAAAAAAAATGTTTTTAATTTTATTAATTTTTTTTTTAAATTTTTTTATCGAATCGAATTGTTATACACCGATAACGACGATAAATGATTGTCCGAATAATACACCAGTAGACGACATCGAAATAAATAAGGTAACCATAATAATAATAATAATAATAAATTTAATAACTAAAATTAATTTTGTGTGCGTGCGACGTCATTTCTTAGATTTTCGGCACGTGGAGATTGGGTTATTTGTATATAGATGACGATTTGGAAGAATTAGCAGAAGATAAAACATGTTTGATTATAGAAATAATGAAAATAAACGAAACAAAATCCGAATTGTTACTTTACATGGATAGTAGAAAAAACGATTATGAAATCGATAGGTATACGAAAGAATTCGATTTGACCTTTCTAACAAATCCTGGACAATGGATAATACACACGTCGTTTATGCGTACGTATCATCATCATTATCATCATTTAAAATAAACCTGGAAAAGAAAATTTTTTTTAATAATAATAATAATTTATTTAAACAGATATCGAATCCGTTCACGTGACCGTAATCGATTATACGGACGATCGTATGATATTAACATTTTGTGCGAAACCTTTTGAACCTGAATCGTCATTTCCGGTTAAATTAACGGACGATATAACGTCTTCCGATTTCGATAACGAAAATTCAATCAACGATTTGTATAAATTACAAGCCTACGATAAATTATTAAAAGATTTTCAAGATATTAATAATGTTAATAATAATAATAATGATGATTTTTCATCGAAATTATTTCGCGGGAAAAGACGAATAACAAAATTCGATTCGACAAAATTCGCATATAAAAAAATGTTTAATCGTTTTAATAAATCTCCAGGTAATACTAAAAAGAAACATTTATGGACGGCCATTTTAATTAAAATTAATAATGATAATAATAATGGTAATAATAATAATAAAAATGACGTTTCACCTTTTGATTTTATACAAAGTGCTTCTTTGCTCATGAAACACGGTTTTAATATATCGAAAGGACAATTGATTACTTTCGGAAATTGCAGATTAACCTGATGATGATAATAATAATAATAATATTATTATTATTATTATTATTATTTTAATTTATTTATGTGAAAAAAAAATTATTCTTACGTTTGCTTACGTAAATAAAAAATAATTTTTTTTCTCTCAATTTTCTTTAGTTTTTTCTTGTTCGTAATCCGTTCATTCATCATTACCACATCCGCCATCTTTGTTTTTATTTTTAAAGTAAAATAAAATTTCAATAAATTTTTTTTCCTTCTGGAAAAGTTTTATAAAAAAAAAAAAAAAATCGAAGAAGAGGAGGAAAAAAAAATTAAGTTTAAATGAATTAATTTAAAAAAAAAAAAACATTTTTTTTTTTATTTTTATTATTATTATTATTATTTTATAGTCATACTTTTTAAATCCTAGATGGGTATAACATAATTCTGATTCTGTGACCCATGGCTTTAGCTGGTAAATTTGATTTAAATTTAGCTCTCACAGAACCTGTGCATCCATGTGGACGAGTTACTTTACCCCAAATAGCTCTTATTTTGTTTTTCTTGTTTGGAGTTCCTGGAATTGGAGTTTTCCTCTTGGCCTAAACACACAAAAACATTTTAAATCATTGTCAACATTAACATTTGATTGAAGTAATAATGAAAAAATGGTCATTTTGTTACCTTGTAAACGAAAACACATTTTTTCCCTACATAAAACAATGTGTGGTGTTTTCTTTTACAACCTTCAATTTTCAAAAGAGCCGTATTTTCCTGTTGGTTCCTTAAACCTCTTTTATATCCAGTAAAAATAGCCTGGAATGAGAAAAAATGTTTAAATTATTATTATTATTATTACACATACACACACACAAATGCTGGACTTATTGAAATTCATAATAAAAATAAAATAACTAACCTTAGCATACAATCGTCCATTTTTCTTAACAAACTTTCTAACTTTTTTAGGATTTCTAACTGGATGTTTTCTAACAGTAACCTTTTTCGATGCACCTTTTTTATCCTTGGATGCTGGTTTTTTAACACTACCATCTTTGGATTTAACATCCTTAACAGAAGTTTTTAACTTTTTATCCTTGGCCTGCAATTTGCTTTTGGCATTTGCAGGAGCGCTACTCGCTGGTTTCTTAGTTGCGGGAGCTTTTTTAGCTGGTGCGGGTTTCTTAGTGGCTGCATCTTTCTTACCTGCAGCATCCTTTTTAGGTGCAGAATCTTTTTTAGATGGTGCTGCTGCTGCCTTTTTAGCAGGAGTTGCCTTCTTAGCAGGAGCTGCTTTTTTAGCAGCAGCTTTGTCAGACGCATCCGGCATCTTGACTTACCTTTAAAAATAATAATAATATTAAAATTAATACTTTAACGTTACTATTGACATATTTACGTGTCGATACGAGTAATTAGTAAATACGGTAAGTAAAATTTATAATAAAAACTTAAATAAAAGTTGATTGGATTTATCGAAATAAAAAATTTAATTGAATTCTCAACCGAAATGTAAATTAATACGAATAAGTATTCGAACTAAAACATTTGTTTTGGTTAAGTTAACGTTCAACCGAGTAACACTTGATACAAATTTTACCCAAAGTAATCCGAATAACTGACACTCTCTTAAATATTTTTGAATAAATAAATGATTTCTTAAATATTTAAATAATTTAATTTTTACGTTATTATTTAAAAATAAATTGGATTATATTATATTTAAGAAAAATAAAAAACATTAATCTAACCTTAACACAAGTGCCTTATTTTTCTAAAAGTAAAATGGCTGACTAAACGTGTCACTATCTAAATATCTACGATTTCCTTTAGAACGAGTTTCGATTTCTCGAACGCTAAAAAACTGTTTTTTTTTTTTTCTTATGATAGTGTGAAATTGTAAAAATTCACGGCTACGGTTAAAAATGGTAAGATATCATAAAGTTTTTTAATTATTGTCAAAATTAATTTAAATATTTAATAAGTTTATAAAAATTTTTATTCCTCTTTATAAACTTTATGTGTTTTATAATGTTAGAAGAGTTCACAAGATTTTTTATGTCTGATTCGTTATAACTTGAGGTAATCATTGGGAATGTGTTTTATTATTTTATAATTATTCATGTTGTTTCATAATTATTAATTTTGTACCATTGATCACGACAAAATTGTTGCCGTGGTTACAGTTTGGTTGTTTACATGGTAAACTACTGTTGTTTATCTAGTAAAGTACAGTTTATTAAAACATGGTTCTTCCAAAAGAAAAAGTAAAAAAATCTAAAAAGTACCAATCTCAAACAGAAATGTCAGCTGTATCATCTAAATCAGTAGTTAAAGATTTACAAAAAAAATGCAAGGCATATTATAAAAACAGTAGGAAAAAGTATTATGAATATTTTTTAAATTGTGTCGAGGAAATACAAGCTCTTCAACCGAGTGGTTTTGCTTGCATGCAAGCAAGAAGATATTTTATTGTAGGAGTTTTACCACAATTTTGTGTCATTCCAGATCCTCTTACAAAAAAAGAAAGGGAAAGAGTTGAAAAATTAATATCAGAATGAAAAAAAAATTTTTTTTTTTATTAAAATGTATTTCGATTAAGTTGATCAATAAATTAAAAAAAATATTTTAAAAATTTATATTTATATATTTGTTTAATAATATTTTTTTATACAGTCAAGAAAAATTCAATATAATACAACCAATAAGCTATTATTATCCATAGGGAAGTAGTCCAGAGATTTTCTAATGTTAATATGAAGTGAGTGTTCATATTGCCATAACTCCAATTAAATGGAAATAAATTATAAGTGATTATGTGTCCAACATATAATATTGTCGGATTCATGCCAGGACCTTTAAATGGTACACCATTCCAAAATCTCAAATGGTCTTGAAAAAAATAAATTACACAAAGTATTAAAAATGCTGATGATGTAGTGGTGAACACATAGGAAAGTGACCTGAAAAAAAGAAAAAAGGAAAAAATTTTCATCAAATTCATTCATCGCTTAATCAAGATATTGTTAATAACATACCAAAGATTTTTATTTATGGGAACAATTCCTGGAAGTGAAAGAAGCAATGCTAATATGCCATTTAATATACCCCAAGTAAACCAACGAATGAGTTTTGCTTTCCATTCTGGATGATAAAGAAGCGTGGCTCCTGCTTGAACACCAAAAAATGCTTGGAAAATTGACGGCATGACACCTAAAATTAAACGTTTTACATTATTTTTTTATAAAATATTGAAATTTTGAATGTTGTAGTCAATTACCCAAAAGTCCTTCGGGATCAAACGGTCCCGATTTGTACACTTTCGATGATGTCGGATTTTTATATATGTGTTCTACTCCCAATAAAACTTTATCCACATATCCCGTCATTCCTCCCGTGCACTCATTGAATCTTCCACCATCTTGAATTCCTCCAGGTCCTAGGTATCCGCTACATAAAAGTAATTACCAAAACATGATTTAACATGTTTATAAAAAACAAAATAATAATAATAATAATAATTTAATGTTATACCTGGGACATCCGGGAACAGGTGAAAAAAAAACAAAATAACAATAAGCGGCAACGATGGACAATATAACAATCCATTGTGGAAAAATTATTATGATATCTTGAAACGTTTCACGAAAACTGGAACCGGGAAACTGGAAAAAAAAAAAAAAAAACTAATAATAGTAATAATAATAAGAACGATAATGATAATAATAATGATTATTATACGAACCCTATTTTCGTTAGAAATCGAACGGGGAGTAAAACAAACACCCAAAATAGCAATAATCAAATAAACAATTGAAAATCTTTGTAAAACTCCTGGAATTCGAATGGTTTCCAAATCGGAACCGATTCCGACGGTGTTTAATAAAACACCCAAACCAAAGAGTAAAATTCCTCTCTGAAAATGTGAAATTATACGACAGTTATTATCATTATTATTATTAAGTCATAAAATTAAAGATTCGAAACAATAATTACTTTTATGACGTGGCCTAATATTTTCCACCTGGAAACGTTTCTCTTCAATTGAGTCCTTATTGAAATAGGAATGCAAAGTCCCATGACCCATAAAAACCATGGGAAAACAAAATCCGCAACGAGGATTCCATTCCACGTGGCATGTTCCAGAAACCAATAATGTCCGGCACCATCGTTAACGAAAATCATCAAAACAACGGCGAGGCTGGAATTTTACGGGGAAAGAGAGAGAGAGAGAAAAAAAAAATTTTATTATTTTAACTGGACACACCCTCACACCCACCCCACCCGCAACCTTATCATCATCATCATCATCTCACCCTCTGAATGTATCGATTGATTTGATTCTGTGTCTTGCAGGTTTCGAAGAGGCTTGTGTCGTTCTATCATCGCCTCCATAATCGGACATTTCGCAATTTACTTTATTCGATGTTTTTTTTTCTTTGCAGTACATGATGGTTTTCTTAATTGCATACGTGAGAAATGTGGATACGATTGCGAGAATTGCCAAACCGCTCAAAATGGCTGCCATTGCTGGACAAAAAAAAAAAAAAAATCCGATAAAAATACAACTTCGGTGAGTTTATTTATTTATTTATTTATGACACTCACGAAGGTATATGTTGACGCATTCTTTTGCCGTTGTCATATTGCATGATATTTGTTCGTCTGATTCTTGATTTATTGTTAAATCGTACACGCCGAATTCTCCAAAATCTGGAGTTATGTCGCCGCAAATTCTCGAACTGCAAAAAAAATAATTAGTGTAATAATAATAATAATAATAATAATGAGTTGTTATGGGGAAAAAAAAAAAAAGTTACGTACCTTTGATTAGAAACGGAAATGTAATCGGCACCGCCATCGTTCGATATTCTCATTTTCATATTTCTCCTCGTCGACATTTTAATTATATTTTCTCCAGCGTTGATAATCGAATGTCTCTGATAAGGACACCTTTCGCAGTCTTCTGATAACGTGTAAAGCCATAGCTTTTCTTCCAAACTCGAGGATACGTTGAGAAAAGCTTCGTCGACTTTTAATTCGGAAAATTTAAGTCCTTTCCAATTTTCCAAACCCGGATTTTCTATCCAAGACATCATCATCTTTTCATTTTATTTTCTTTTCTGACTTCTGTAATGATGATAATAATAATTTATTTTATTGATTTATTAGAAGAAAAAATAGAAAATAGTTTTTTATTATTATTATTATTATTAGAAAGTTTTTGAAAAAAATTTTTTAAATGGAGAAAAAAAAACTGGAAATTATTTTTTTAAAAAAAAAAGAGTTTGTAGGTCGTCGTTTGTTTCTCAATTTGAATTTTAACACACAAAATATTTTAAACGAGAAAAAAAAAATTAGAAATTTTAAGAAAGAAGTATTAATGATGATAATAATAATAATAATGATGATTTTTTTAAAAAAACTACATTCGAAATTTCTGTCGATCGGATAGGAAATAACGTGGAAAAGTTAGTTGGGAATAATTATTATTATTATTATTATTTTTTGTTTGTTTGTTTCACCTTTTTAAAAATAATTACGACAAAATGATTTTACGTATCGAAAATCCTTGAAATGATTCTTTAGAATTGAAAACAGGTACGAAACCTAACCTTTCCCTTCGGGAATTTGTTTTTCTCTCTCCTTCGTTTTCACTTTTGGCATTGAAGTTAATTTTTTTTTTTTTTTAAATCGGTTTATATAAAAACCGTCGGTGGTTAAATGAATTTTTCTCGCGAATCGATTTATTTTTTCGAATCTCGATAGTTTCGATTTTTCTGTAAAAAGAATTTTCGGATGGTGCTAACCTCCCCCTCCCCTCCCCCCACGAAAACTCGAATCGTTTCCGTTATAAAATTTAAATTTTATTAGAAATTTTTTTTTATTTTCTTTAATTAAAAACTGTCGTCGTGGTTTAAATTTTATTTTAGGGAAGCATTTCCGGTAGAGAATCGTTTGTTTATAGTATAAAAAAAATTCTGTCGTAATAAACCTTGAAATATTATTATTATTATTAATATTATTATTATTACTTATTTTTATTATTTTTAATTACTTTTATTTCATAAAAATTGTTTATAATTTTGTTTTTTGTGTTTTTGCCCCCAAAATAAAATTAGGAGATTTTTTTTTTCACTTTTACTATTATTATTATCATCATCATCATCATCATCATCATCATTATTATTATTATTACTAAATAGGAAATGTCGAAAAAGAGAGAGAGAGAAAAAAAAAAGTAGCAAATCATAAATAAATGCCAGACACCGTGTTTATTATGTTATTACGCGAAAGTTATAAAAAAAAAAAAAAAAAACGTCGGTAAATTAAAGTCATTATTATTATTATTATTATTATTATTATCATCATTATTATTACCTTATTTAATTTTATATATATATAATAAATGTAATGAATTTCCCGCGTTACGTAAAATTTGATTTTTTTTTTTTTTTCTTTTATTCTTTTTTTCTTTCTCTTTTTCGGTTGTTGTTGTTGTAATTTTTTTTTTTTTTTTTAAGTTTGTTTGCGCGTTTGTTTGTACTAAATTTTGTCGTCGTTTATGACAAGGTTAAACATGTCTGCCGCGTGACACTTCAACAACGTCAACTCGTTTAATTAAATTTCGAAAAAAAATAAATAAATAAAGATTTAGAAAGACAAAATTCTAACGGAAACCGGTAAAACTAACATGATTGTTTTTTAAAAATCGAATTACCTGTTTGTTCGATTGTTTGTTTGTTTGTTCATTCGTTTGTTTGTTCATTCGTTTGTTTGTTTGTTCGTTCGTTCGTTTGTTTGTTAGTTACCTGATTTTATTATTATTTTAATTAATATTTCGATTTGATTTATTTTATTATTGTATTCATATTAAACGTTTTTTTTAAAATTCTTTTTCTTTCTTTCTCTCTCTCTCTCTCTCTCTCTCTTTCTTTTTATCTCATCCCCTTAGAATTTTCTAGAATGTTTTTAATTAAGTTTTCGTTAAAAAAAAAAAAAGAAGACGAACGTTAAATGAATACTTAAAAAATTTTTTTTTTATTCATTCGATTATTTATTGAAACTGGAGAATCGTGAGGATGGGTAAAAAAAAAAAAAACGTTGAGAAATGTAAATGTAGGAAGATGTGTACGTGGAAGTTCCAGTCATTCATTCATTCATTCATTCAAAAAACAAAATATGAATTAAATGACCATTACAACAAACAACAACCAAATTTTTTTTTTTTTTTTTTACCACATTAAAAAAACCACTTTTCAAAATTTCTCTTTTTCTATTTTTCTCTCTCTCTCTCTCTTTTTCTCCCTCGTAATTGAATTGACTTATTATCATTATCATCACATTCTTTCCTCGATTATTATTATTATTATTATTATTATTATTGTTCGCACAAGTATTAATTAATGTATCTATTCATCCTAAGTAATTAATACTACTACTAATAATAATAATAATGATTACGCACAATAAAAGTCGAAGTATAAAATGGAAAAAAATTTTTTATTTTTTTTTTTCACGTGTAAATAGAAAGAGAAAGTTTTGGAAAAAAAATAAAAGGAAATAATAATAATAATAATAATAATAGCGTAATGAAAAAAAGTTTTTGCAAATCGAAAGTTTTAACTAAAAACGAATATAAAAAAGAAAATTTTTTTTTTGTATTGAAAAACGACGGGTAAATAGATACGAAAGATTAATAGTAATAATAATAATAATACGTAATTATTATTTATTTTATTTTTATCGTGTCAACAACAACAACAACAATTTCAAAGTCTAAAAACTTTTGATAACCGTAAGAGAAACTTTATCAGAATAGAACAAAAAAAAAAAAAAAAAAATTGAAAATTTAAAAATTTTTCGAAACTAATCGATTATTATTATTATTATTATAATTGTTGTTGTTGTTGTTGTTGTTATTGTTGTTGTTGCATTAACCGCCGTTTAATTGATTTTTCAAATCGTGATTTATTCAACAAACAACAACCACAACAACAAAAACTATATTAAACAATGCATTTTATCAGATTGTAGCCTGGAGCGCACGAATTAATTTGCCATAGTTTTGTTATAAACAAATAAAAAAAAAATGAGGAAAATTATAAGTTTTACGCTCACTCCCATCATTATTATTATTATTATCATTATCATCATCATTATTATTATTTACGGTTGAATTATTTATTTAATTCGAGAAAAAATTTAAAAAAAAAAAAAAATTAATTTATTATTAACTAAAATATTTTGTTCGTTCCGTAGAAAAAAAAAAAAAAAAAAAATTTTAATAAATTTCTAAACACGTGTGTCAAGTGTTTTTTTTTTTTTTTTAAATTTAGTGTGCACGTGTGCGTGTGTTCTTGTATTGTCTGTACGAAAGAATAAAAAAAAAAAAAAAAAAAAAAAGAAACCGGAATAAGATTATTATTGGGTAAAATCGTTCATCATTAATTTCAAAAGACTCAACTAACAAACAATAAAATTATTATTATTATTATTATTATTATTAATATTATTTATTCGTGGCCTTACGTACATAAAACGGTTTTACGTATTGTAGGGGGAGGAGAGAGAGGGAGGGAGGGAGGGGGTTTAAAACGTGAATTTTTTTGGGTTTTTTTTTTTCCCAAATGGTTTGTGGGTCAATAGGTTATCATCACTCTGTCGCCCATTTTTCATTTTTTTCCTCATCTTTTACATTTTTTCTTCTTTTCACACTTTTATTTTCCTTTTTATTTATTTATTTATTTATTTACGATTCGTTTATTTCCTTATACTTTTTAATGTGAGAATTTATCCGGGGGTCGATGGAAAAAAAAATGGAATGTTGTAAAAACTGTGACGTAATATATCAAGTCGAATTAAGACCTGGAGGTTTTGGGTTGCGACAAATTTTTTCCGGTACCGTAACACGTCATCGATATTATAAAATATCACGTGGTACTTACGAAAAAATGATGAACGTTTAAACGTCATCGACAAATATATATATTTCCTTTTCTGTTTATAAACAAACGAATGATGGAAAACGAAACAAAGTGGCGTGAGGGGAGACGGGGGAGAGGAGGGAAATGGTTAAAAAGGATGTTAAAAAAAAATAGCAAAAAATGACGATGATGATGATGATAACGAACGAAAATGAAAAATAATAACACGAAATATCATGAAAGGGATTTTAAATCTTTATTATAATGATCGTAATAAACATTAATTAACTTTAAATCGTCTACAACAACAACAACAACCACGACAACGACGACGACGACTACGACGACGGGTTAAACAACCATTAATTTTATATGCGGCGATTTATTTTCATAAACGACCTCATTGCATTTTACTTTTTTTTTTTTTTTTTTTTGCAAAGAGACACACACACAACGGGGCCTATTTAATAAGGGAAAAATTATTATTATTACTATTATTAATTGTAAACGTTGTTCGTAAAGGTTTTAAACCGATACGAATGAATGCACGCACGCACGCACGCGTTTTTCTTGCATTTTTTTTATCTTTAATTAATATTATTTGATATAATTGATTTCGATTTTTTTTTTTTTTTGTATCGAAACTATCGCTCGACAAGGTTTAAAAAAAAAAAAAAAAAAAAAAAAAAGAAATTCCAGTTAACCGTTATCTAGTGAAATGTTGGAATGTTGTAAACTAAGAGAAAGAACCATTCAAGAAGAAGAAGAAGAAGAAGAATCATCTTGTTACCAATGTAAAAAAAAGAAAAAATTAAAAATCTTGTTCCGTTTATGTCCTTGTCCTAATATAAA